GAGCAAAAAGAATAAAATAAAATCAATTTAAATGCACTTCTTGCCAACTCCACAAATGAACTATTTGCTGCTCACTTTGAGGCTTTAAAGGACCTGAAAGCCCAAAATTACATTTTTTAATAATCCATTATCTAAAATTAAAAGTATTTATTGCTGCTGCAGCAGGGGGCCCCCTGGGGGCCCCCAGGAGGCCCCATGGGGCCCTTGGGGGGCCCCTCGGGGCCCCGTGGGGCCCCAGGGGGGCCCCGTGGGCCCCAGGGGGGCCCTTGAGGGCCCCCAAGGGGCCCCCTGGGGGCCTTTAAAGGCCCTAGGGGCAGCTGCAGCAGCAGAAGGGAGAAAAGCTGCAGCAGCAGCTGTAGAGTTCTCGAGGGGCCCCCTGCTGGTGTGCTGCAGCAGCAGCAGCAGCAGCAAACGAGAGGCAACAGCAGCAGCAGCTAACGAGTGGCGGCAGCAGCAGCACAAGAGAGGCAGAAACAGCAGCAAAAGAGAGACACGGCAGCAGCAGGGGACAGACGCAGCTGCAGCAGCGGAGCGGCAGCAGCACCTGCTGCGGCTTCTGAAAAGTAACACGGCAGCAGTGCAGACAGCAGCAGCAGCGAAGAGCGAGAAGGCAGCACTCGGGAGCTCGGAGGGTCACTTAATTGGGTTAGAGGACTTGAAAAGTAAAATGGAAATAAAAAAGAAGAAAAAGAATTAAAAGAAGAAAAGAAAAGAGAAAAGGCGGAAAAAAGAGAAGAGCCGCAGCTGCAGCAGTAGACTGCGGGCTGCTGCTGCTGCTGCTGCAGTGGGGGGCAGCAGAGCTGCTGCGGGGAATCTTTGTTGCTTTGGAAGCAAAAAAGAAATAAAAACAAATAAATAAAAGCATTTAAAACAAAAAGATGGAAATTAGGAGGCGGCGTTGAGGCCCGCGGCCCTCGCTGCTGCAGCGCCGAGGCCGTTGCTGCTGCTGCTGCTGCTGCTGCTGCTGCTGCTGCCACTCCCGCTGCGCAGCTAGAGTTTAGTCCTTTTCGGAACAGTTTAATTTAAATAAATGCAAATTAACTGTCGGGTTTCTCGCGGAGTTGGAGAAGCTGCGCCGGGGTGTACGTACACCGCAGCCAGGCTCGCGCCACCAGCAGCCACCGGCTCACCCCACACCCCTCACTTCATTTCTTTCTTTCTTTTCTCTTCTTTTCTTTTCTTTTTTTCTTTTCCGGAGTTTCTTCGGCAATGAGAGTGCCTTTTCCTTTAGACTTAACGTAGCCACGCCCCGCCTGCTGCCCAGTTTGCTGCTCTCTCCCGCGGCCTCGAGGGGAAGAGCGGCGCGCAGCAGCAGCAGCAGCAGCAGCAGCAGCAGCAGCAGCGAGCCTTGCTGCTCTTCTCGCCAAGACCGGGCTCTGCGGAAGAACAGCAGCACTCGCCGCCTCGTCCTCGCGGCCTGCAGCGAAGCAGCAGCAGCACGAGCAGCAGCAGCAGCAGCAGCAGCAGCTCCAGCCCGACGGACTGCCTGGCGAAGCAGCAACGCCTCGCCAGCAGCAGCAGCAGCAGCAGCAGCAGCACCTGCAGCAGCTGCCGGAACGCGTCCGTTCTGGCCGTCTGCAGCACAGCCGACTTGCTGCTGCAGTTTTATCTTTTGCTTCTTTTCTTCGGAGGTACTCCCTCTTCCGTTCTAGCGCTAGGCAGCAGCAGCAGCAGCAGCAGCAGCAGCAGCAGCCACCGTAGGCACTCTCAGGATCCGCAACAACAACTCTAGCAGCAGCAGCAGCAGCAGCAGCAGCAGCAGCAGCAGCAGCAGCAGCGATCCATGGCAGGCTAATTAGGCTCTGAGGGCGGCAGCAGCGAGATGGAGGGGCCCGCGGTGGCCGCCGTTGCTGCTGAGACCCCAGCCGCAGCAACCCAGCAGCAGCAGCAGCAACAGGAGCCACAGCAGCAGCAGCAGCAGCAGCAGCAGCAGCAGCAGGCCCCACAGCAGCAGCAGCAGCAGAGTGATGGCAGCCGCAATTCCAAGGCAGTTTTCTCCCTAAAGAAGCCGACGCTCCTCCCCAAGTCTCTTCATTACCGTCCGCAGACACAAGTGAGTGGCGCTTTGCTGCTGCTGCTGCAGTTGCTGCTGCTGCTGCTGCTGCAGTTGCTGCTGCTGCTGCTGCTGCAGTTGCTGCTGCTGCTGCTGCTGCAGTGAACGCGGCAGCAGCACTTGCGGTGTCTGTACACTCAGGAGTGGCGCGTGAAATACCGCTGCGGCGGGGCAGTTCACTGCAAGACCTTCTCAGCGCAGGTGCCTTTTGCTGCTGCTGCTGCTGCTGCTGCTGCTGCTGCTGCTGCTGCTGCTGCTGCTGCTGTGTCTGGTCTTGGGTCTCCTCCTCGTGTCTTGTTCCTGTAGATTCCTTTTTTAGTCCCCTTTGTGTGCTGCTGCAAGTTGCTGCTGCTGCCGCATTGTGGGTAGATCTGTTGGGCTGCTGCTCTTCTGCTGCTGCTGCTGCTGCTGCTGCAGCAGCAGCAGCCACGTGCGGGCACTGCTGCTGCTGCTGCAGCAGCAGTGCCCGCACGTGTCTCTGTGTCCTCTTGCGTGTACTGTTTGTCTCACCCCTGCTGCTGCTGCTGCGGCTGCTGAAGTTCGCGCTGGCCTCTGCTGGCTGCTCGCCTCCACTTGCTGCTGCTGCTGCTGCTGCTGCTGCTGCTGCTGCTGCTGCTGCAGACGTACGGCGTGGAGACAGCGCATGCACTGGCCCTCTGGTACCGGCAGCGAGTTGCTGCTGAGGGTTGTGTCCCTTCGGAGGCGCAGATAAGAGAGACTTTGCTGCAGCTGACAGCAGCAGAGAAGCAGCAGAAGCCAGCAGCAGCAGCAGCAGCAGCAGGGGCAGCAGCAGCAGCAGCGGCAGGGGCGGAGGAGGAGGCGGGGAAAGGCGCCAAGGGGCTCGAGCAGCAGCAGCAGCAGCAGCAGCAGCAGCCGGTGAAGGACGCAGCAGCTGCTGCTGCTGCAGCAAATGCAGCGGCGCTGTCTTCTGCGGTTGTGGCTGCTGCTACTGTTGCTGCTGCTGCAGCAACAGGAAGTGCAGCAGCAGCAGCAGCAGCAACGCCCAGGCTGAAAGCAGCAGATGTGCTGCTGGATGCATGCGATGATGCCCTCGACTTGGGACCTCCAATGAAGGGACGCAGCAAGCTGCTGCTGCAGCAGCAGCAGCAGCAGCAGCAAAGTGCGGGCAAGCTGCAGCGGCCCCACACAGCAGCAGCTGCTGCTGCGGCAGCAGCTGGAGGCGGCGCATGCGCTTCGGAGACGGGAGAAGCAGCATGCAAGTCAAAAGTTGCTGTTGCTGCTGCAGCGCCACCTGCTGCTGCTGCTGCTGCTGCTGCTGCTGCACCGGCGGCGCAGATGCTGCAGTGTGCAGTGGACTCATTAGAGCCGAAGCCACTTCTGCCGCAGCAGCAACAGCAGCAACAGCAGCAGCAGCAGCAGCAGGGAGACGCCCCGGAAGCAGCAGCAGCAGCAGCACCAGCACCAGCGCCTGTGTCCAGCAGCAGTACAGCGGCAGAGGTAGCAGCAGCAGCAGCAGCTGCTGCTGCTGCTGCAGCGGCCCCGCCTGACCTTGTAGAGGAGCCGGCGGAGCAGCAGCAGGAGCAGCAGCAGCAGCAGGAGCAGCAGCAGGAGCAGCAGCAGCTGCAGCGCGTGCTGCTGCGACGCAGCAGCAGGCCCCCGCGGCCGTCGCCCTCTGCTGCAGCAGCAGCAAATGTCAGCTGCAGCAGCCCCCGCATCCACACAGGCAACAACAACGCTTCTTACCACGCCGACAAGCAGGTGCTGCTGCTGCTGCAGTTGCTGCTGCTGCTGCTGCTGCAGTTGCTGCTGCAGTTGCTGCTGAAGTTGCTGCTGCAGTTGCTGCTGAAGTTGCTGCTGAAGTTGCTGCTGAAGTTGCTGCTGCAGTTGTTGGGCTTGCTTTGGCTGCTGGGGCCGCTGTTTGTCTTGCTGCTGCTCTCGCTGCATTTGCTGCTGCTGCTGCTCTCGCTGGTGCTGCATTTGCTGCTGCTGCTGCTGCCGGTTGTGCTGCATTTGCTGCTGCTGCTGCTGCTGCGCGTCTTGCTTCTGTTGTTAGTACCCTCTTGTGCGCCTGCTGCCGCCAGAGTCGGGAGCAGGCCCGGGCCTAGGGTTTAGGGTTTAGGGTTTAGGGTTTAGGGTTTAGGGTTTAGGGTTTGTGCAGGAGTGGCGCGCGCGGTTTTACGTGGGCCCCAAAAGATGCATGCGGACTTTCAGCGCGAAACTCTACGGCTTCGAAAAGGCCCGCGAAAGGGCCCACGCCTTTATCCGCTACATTCAGGTCCGAGGGTTTAGGGTTTAGGGTTTAGGGTTTAGGGTTTGGGGTTTAGGGTTTGGGGTTAGGGTTTAGGGTTTGCGGATGTGGGGGCTCCGGCGCACGGGCGGGCTGGGCTGGAAGGCTGGCCGGCTGGAGAGGGCGGGCGCAGACGTTCGCTAGGGTTTAGGGTTTAGGGCTTAGGGTTTAGGGTTTAGGGTTTAGGGTTTAGGGTTTGGGGTGGTTTGCTGCAGCTGCACGGGCGGCTGCCGACGGCGTGGGGCCACCGGGGGGAAGGCGAGGCGGAGCAGCAGGGACTTGTGTCTGCTGAGAGCAGCAAGAAGCAGCAAAAGGCTCAGCAGCAGCAGCGGCAGAAGCAGCAGCAGCAGCTGCTGCTGCTGCAGCAGCAGCAGCTCCGCGAGCTCCCAGCAGCAGACCAGGAACGCCCGGGGAAGAAGCGCTGCACTGATGCTGCTGCTGCTGCTGCTGGAGGCCGCAGCAGAGAGCAGCAGCACGCACTGAGGGCGCAGCAGCAGCAGCAGCTGCAGCAGCAGCAGATGCTGCTGCAGCAGCAACAGCAGCTGCTGATGCTCGTGTCCCAGCAAAAGACAACGGCTCCCCAGGACTGCACTGTCGACTGTGAGCCAAACCCTAAACCCTAAACCCTCGTTGGGGGTTTAAGTCCCATACGGACTCGTGTCTCCTTTTGGCGCAGAGACGGCAGTGCTTGATTTTAGG